ATCCCTTTCTATTCTAATAAAAAAATTGGGCTGGGCTGGAGCCCACCCCTGCCCCAACATACATCCGCCCATGCTACCGTCGTTCTGGACTTTTGGCTACCGCCATTCGTATGTGGAAACTCTGAATCCAAGGCCAAGGAGAACCGGAGAAGGCAACGAATTAAGCGGAGGACTGAACTGGACAGTGGTGGTTGCCGAAGGATCTATCAGGCTTGAGGTTGAATTTAATTTCAAAAATACCCGGCTGTACGGTGCTCACCGTACAGCCGGTGGTACGGTATAATTTACGGTTTTATAGACACTAGTGCAAAAAACGCATTTTATAACTAGCTTTTAATATGAGTTCATTTGGAACTGTTATAATATGCAGGTGCGGGGTCATATTTATAAATACTGAAAGTTTCGAGTAAGTTGAGCGGGTAAGAATTATAAATATAAAGTATTATCTATAACGGTTTCAGAAATAACGGACATAGTTAATAGAAACGGGGTCATTTATATAATTTTCGCAAACTAAAGTTTGAAATGGGATCTCTTTTATATTTTTAAAAATTCCTTTTCTATGTCAGCTCGTTTTGAACCCTTATGAAAAGATCAGTCCTAAGATAAAAGTTAAAACCAACAGCGATAACATCCAACGAGTAGGGCAAATCGACTAGCAAGCACCGCCGCCACCGCTCTCAATTACGACACGAGGACGAAGCACCGCCGCTGCTTATTCTCTCAATCAAGAGATGAAAACGAATCACTGCCGCTGCTGCTCTCAATTAAGAGACGAAGAAGCATAGCCGCTGCTGCTCTCATTTAAGAGGCAAATACGAAGAACCGCCGCCACTGCTCTCAATTAAGAGACGAAGAAGAAGCATGGCCACCGCTGCTCTCAATTAAGAGATGAAGAAGAAGCATCGCTGCTGCTGCTCTCATTTAAGAAACGAAGACGAAGCACCACTGCTGCTTCTCTGAATTAAGAGACGAAGACGAAGCACCCTTTCTTTTCGTTAGCACTTGACGACCCACCCTTTCAGGAGACTTCTCCCGCTCTGCATTAACCGGCGGCGAAGAGAGACTATAATCATCTCTCTTCCACCGTAGGTAATTTCTCATTTTGTTCTATTTACATTATACACGAATACTTTCTTCAATTGTTGAAAGATTTTATCGATCTAGAGGTTGTTTATTTCATTCAATTATTCCAGATAAAAGATTATAACCTTTGCTTAATTATGTTTTACTTTGCACATGTCTATAATGTTTGTGGAAATTTCTGAGTGAGATTTTGAATGGATGTTTCTTAGCAATATCATTGACTAAGATTTTGAATGGATGTTTCTTAGCAATATCATTGACTAAGAGTTTTGCTAATCAAATGATCTAAGAGTATCAACTAATACATCATGATCTAAGAGTTTTGCCCCAAAAATGACCGCCTAGTCACAAAATATCTTCTTTTTGGCTGATTTCGAAATACTAGCAGCAACTGGGCCGTTTTTATCATTTTTTCTCCTGGATTCAAGTATGAAATATCCTCCTGTTTCACATGAAAATAGTCTATGAGCAGTACAATTCGAGAATTATGTACTCATATTCATAAGGCATACAATTGCAGAACATTGAACATTTGAACTTCATTTTTCTTGGTAAATACTTCTTAAAGGCATACTTTTTCTTCTACTGTATTGACTTGTATTTTGTCTTGCTCTTTTTTATTTTTGTTTTATAATTATTTCTTGAAGTCTATCTTGTGTGAAATTGAGGAAACTCCCAAAATGCTTGAAAATTACCAGACACTATAATGGTCTGGGTTTCACTAAATGAGGAAGATTGGAGTGAGGGAATTCCTAAACTACATGGAAATTTATTCAATCTTACTCAGTTTTCTTCATATATCCATAATTTTTTCTATTTTTGTAAGTAAAAATGGTAGTTCTCGACTTCTCGTATGAGTCATGTCAAAGAATTTCTTAGACATCATTTTTAGTGACGTTAGCAAAAAATATTTAAGAATGAGAATGAAAACTTCAAGAATATTACTCTTTACAATCTTTGGCAGCCAAGGCCCAAGTGACTAGCTGCATTTTAAAGAATATTTATACTCAGTACTACTTAATTATAACTTCCTCAATTATCTCTCGTGTGTACTTGTTAATAGTATTCTGTGTATGTAGAGCTGCTATAGTGCTATCATTATTATTATGATTATTAGCATTACTTTATATGTGGTTTTTGTTTTAGTATGCAGTATATATATATATATATATATATATATATATATATATATATATATATATATAGAGAGAGAGAGAGAGAGAGAGAGAGAGAGAGAGAGAGAGAGAGAGAGAGAGAGAGGAATGATCCTGTCCAGCAGCCCCCGGTCCGAACAGTGCCCGAACATGGCCATTTGGGGCATTTCCCGGTGGAATTTTTTGATGAAATTTTTTGAGCATGTTCTTCATCAAGTCTAGTTTGTTCATATCAAATTTCAGCTCAAACTTAGTTCGGAAAGGCATTCAAATCAGTTTTTGAAGTTGACTGTGTTTTTATATGTATATTTTGACGCAGTCAACTTCAAAAAATGATTTGAATGCCTTCCCAAACGAATTTTGAGCTTAAATTTGGTATGGACAAACTAGACTTGATGAGGAACATGCTCAAAAAATTTCATCAAAAAATTCCACCAGGAAGTGCCCCAAATGGCCATGTTCGGACACTATTCGGACCGGAGGCTGCTGGACAGGATCATTTCTCTCTCTCTCTCTCTCTCTCTATATATATATATATATATATATATATATATATATTTCTTATACTATCACTTTTTGTTGTCTCATGTAGTATAATGGATAACTGTTATGAATGTCCCACTTATTTAATATTTCATTTCATTTATATAATTTGTTACTTTTATCATGTGGGTTTTCTTATACTTGTATGTGTATTTGCATATGTTTGTAGGAGGTACTGTAAGATGAAGTTTGTAGGAGTTGGTACTAGATTTGGCCCAACCCTGGAGTCAAAAGAGAAGTGTGCCAACGGAAGAATAAGGTAATTAATTTTCTTTATCCACATAAGTTGTAATCAGATTACATTTGTTTGCCCTTTTCATAATTCAATAGCAGAAAATCAGAAGTAGTATCTTATACTGCAAGTGCTTATCATTATATTATGATGGTTCATGAGGCCTACTAATGCATCGTTGGAATTGCAGTTTCACTACCAAACAGGCTTTCATGTTATTCCACGAAATGCTATGTTTGGTAATATAGTACTACGTAGTAGACTTAGAGTGTTTATTCATGCTTCATTTAACTAGAAAGCCTCCTGTTTCTTTTAGTATTTATCATTGTTACCTTAATACGCTTGTTTTATGTTTCAATTGGCATATTTGAGTTTGAAACTTTAAACCATCAAGGTTCTGTAATATAGCGGATAGCTTCTAGCAAATGGTTTTTCTGATAAATCAATTTCGTATTCCTTATCTTTGCATTGCAGAGCTCTTCAGGATGGTCTTTCAAGGAAATAAAATTGATTTGTGTGGAATCTGAATTTATTCTATGTGACAAATAAGGTGCTAAAGTGCAGTGAAGCTTGAAGTACTCAAGTGCCGATTTTAATGTAGCTTGAGGTATTGAAGGGCAGTAAGAAGTTGGAGTTATGTGTCATACTAAAAGTGTAGCCAGTCTTTGTAAATTGTAATTAGTCTTTTGTTTGAGTAGTATGGTTCTATATACAAAAAAAATTGTAATTGTAATTATAATATATATTTAATTCAAATGTTTCTAGATTTAAATAAAGTGTTTGCATTTTTTATAGATTTTATATGCATTGGGATTTGGGATCAAAGGTAGTAATATGCCTGTTTTGGAAAAAAGAAACATCCAGTATCTTTTTATAAATTAGTATATGTAACGCAAATGAAAAGCAATTTTTTTTGTTTAAAAGATGGACTTTCTATAACGGTTGAATTATAGCAGCCGACATTACAAGTCAGTCTTTCCGTATGGGTTATTTAGCCGACACTAAAAGTGTTGACTTTCTATGTCTCTGGATACTATATGGGGTATGAACCGTTATTATATGTCTTTTTCACCCCATATAAAAAGTCATTTTTCCACTAGTGAGACAACTAATTTTCAGGAAACATAATTTAGTTTGTACGAAAAGTAATAAGTTATTAAACTATATAATTAAGTCAATATCGATATTGACATAATGTGAGCTGTTATAATAGTTTTACGTAGGGTCAAGGAGAATTTATTCATTAAAAAAGTAATATTTTGCACATTTTTTATCAACATTTTCATATTTATAGAACTACGTAGTACCGCCGTTTTTTATTAACATTATTGTATACATTCATACCAATTACGGAGTATAGCATATCAATATTGAAATACGGAGTATTCTTTAAATTTGGAACATTCAATTCCCATTTGATAACATTTAAATTGGTGAATCCAGAGATTCTTCTTAAATCTATGATTTATGGAGTTTTTTTTTTTTAACTCGAGGGGGTCTAGGGGAGCGGAGCTGGAGTAATCAGGGCTGAAACTCACTCCATTGAGTTTCGAACCCTTATGTGTCTAGCGGGTTTCGAACTCGATACCTCTCACTAGGCACGATAACCTCACAAGTAACTAGGCTGGAATGCTTAGTTATGATTTATGAAGTTCTAACTGAAGTGACTTGATTAGATGATTTGGTTGAATTATGGTTTTTATTATTATTTGATAATATAAAAAATATATGAAAATAGTTAAAATGGTCTTCTCTAGTAACTTTACCTAATTCAACCGTAAAGGTAACTCAACTTTATTTATTCTGATTATTACATAATCACTATGCGAAAGCAAAAGTTACTTGTTTGATGAAAATATGATTTTAAGATTAATGAATCGAAAAACAGGGTCATAAAACCGGCTGCTTTGAATATATTGAAATGATATTTGATTTTTCAACATTCAATCAACACTCTAATACTCCCTCCATCCCGAGAATGTTGGCCAAAGTTGACTTTTGTATTAAGAAGAGGAAATTAATTTTAGTCACATATTTCTTACTTTAAATGGAAATCACAAATCTTTTTGGGACATCCAAAAAAGGAAATTCGGTCAACCTTTTTGGGAGGAAGGGAGTATATCATAAAAAAAAATGCACTCCCAACTTGACACTGATAATTAAATGAGTACTCCGTACTTATATTTTCATGGAAGTCGCAGCATAAAGTCCACTGCATAGCATTAATGGCCGGTGGCAGCTTGAGGGGACAGCTTATACGGACTGGTCGCTTAACTGCACCTCATCCGATCCATGAACTCATTATCTTCTCCATCCAATATTCTACACATATATACATTCAACTGAACATACCTTCAGAAGAAATAACAAACGGCCTTAAGCACTTATATGCATGATGATGCATGGCCACTTGTGGAGTTGAAAAACTACCCACCATTCTGTACATTGTTGCCCTTGGATCACTCATGGTTGCTTATCTGGTCATCTGCTACCTTATTCTCGACCATATCGGTGAAAACGATGATGAGGAACCGCCCTTTCCAGCTGAAAGTTTTTCGGGATTATCGTATGAAGAGCTGCAAGAAATAGGCTGTTTCTATTATGGAGCAAGGGAAGAAGAAACCCCACCATTATCATCAATAATATGGTGTGCTATTTGCCTGGATAGTCTCAAGGAAGCAGAGCTGTGCAGAAGTTTCCCAGCAGGTTGCAGCCATGTCTTTCATGCCCATTGCATTGACCCTTGGCTCTTAAAAACACGCACTTGCCCTACCTGCCGGTCTCCATATATTTATATATCTCCACAACCAATAAGTTTCTGCCTTGAATAATTAATTTAAGCGCATAATTTATGTATGAACTATGAAGTATGTATAGATATGGCTGGCCATCTGATCTACCTAGCTTGAACTGAAATAGTGTTTAAGAGTTTGTAAAGAGTTTTAAAGTTTAAAGTTTCCACATGGCCGGTCCTTTCTATTTTTGGGGCCTATGAGCGGGATAATATTTTGGGCTTATTTTCAAGACAAATAATAAACTGTATTTATTTAAAATAATATTTATAATAAAATTAACTAATAAAGGTCGTTAAATAAAAACGAATCTCATTTTATTATTATTATTTAAATTATATATTTGGTGAAAAGTAACAACACAAGTATCACATAAAAAGAATAACATTTATTTTGTAATTATATTGGAAGTTTTGGACTTTGGAGGCCTAACATAACTTTGTAATTTTGCAATTAAAAGGATTATAAAACTTAGAGATCTGAAGAAATTAAGAGAGACGTGCAACCTTACATATATTTTAAAAATTAAACCTTGAACAATTAATTGAGCTTAACAATATATACCTTCCACAAAGAACCAGCATAGAAAAACTCGGGTGAATGTTTGACTTGACCATCATTGAGTCTGAGAACGTCTTGAAACTCAACCCTGTGCAAGCATTTCAAGAAATTCAGAAAACACTGAAAATAATTTCAATCTAAAAAGGATGAATAGTGAATACTGATCTCTTAAAAAGAGACATGTCCTATACAATGATAGATCTACTAAAATCCTGAGATGCAAACATTAACAACAACCAATCTTATACCCAATCATAAAGGGTGTTTTAGGATTCTGGAAAATGCTAGGGAAGGGAAGCGAATGTGTAAAGGTAAGCTATTTGCTTGGCCTTGGTTTTGCCATGGAAACGAAAATGGTTAACGTTTTGAAATTTTTTTACATATGATATGTTTTCTTAACCTTGATATAATAAAAAAGGATAAAATGAGTTCGAACAAATACCCAAAATAAAGCTATTGAGTTTAGAAAAATGTTCTACTATCCTACTCCACACGTTATTCCTTCCGAAGTTTCCCCTCTATTTTACTCCATAATTTTCCCCTACCAACTTGAGCTTAAAAAAAAAAAAGTCTACTCCGGATGTTTTTACATGGATTATAATTTGCTGGTCTGGTCTGATCTGGTCTGGTCTGAACTGGTCTAGTCTGGTCACGTCCGGTCTAAACTGGTCTGGTCTGGTCTGGTCTAAACTGGTCTGGTCTGGTCTGGTCTGGTCTGGACTGATCTGATCTGGTCTGGTCTGGGACATATTATAGTCCAAGTAAAAACATCCTCACACAACATACAAAGAAATATTTTTGGGCCTATTTTCCCCCCTATTTTCTTGGGTCTGGAGCGGTCGCCCCTATTGCACCCCCTAGGGCCGCCCCCGAGTTTCCATAGATACGACACACATACATGTATAAAGTATGGTAGTGCGTGAAAGTACTAGATAGTAGCTAGATACTTGATACGCGTGTAATTTCCGTGTGTATGTTTACGTTTTTAGTTAGTTTTGGTTGTTTAATATTTCGAAAATTACACACTTTTGGTGTAATAGTTTAGTTTGTTAAATTCTTGTAAATTGTTTAGATCATGTTTATTCTGAGCTCAAACAGATCTACTATCACTCAAAGGACAGTTGGTGAACCCCAAAAGTGGAAGGAAGGTGCAAAATCACAAGACAAAAGGGAAGATCCTGTTTTTTGGTCTATACCCGGTCGAGTATCATCTATACTCGATCGGGTATCTTGTTGAAATTTCAAATCGGATCGGATCCGAAAACAAAGAAACATGCAGGGAAGATTTTGACCACGATCAAGTGTCTATACCCGATCGGGTACACCGACATACTCGATCGGGTATGGCTATAAATTTTACTCTAATTTCGATTGAGTATGGATCGAATTCGAGTTTCTACACATACTCGATCGAGTATCTGTATATACTCGATTGAGTACCCGACCTGCACCCCAAAAAAGCCTATAAATACACCCCCTTTGTTACTAGTTATATAAAAAGAGAAGTATTCCTTTCCATGTGGATACGAACCTTACTTCATTATACTACGTATAATTGTTGTATTGTATTATTATTTTGAGTGCACACCACGACAAAGTGCACGTCAAATTTGGCGCCGTTGCCGGGGAAAGGCAATTTTTTTTTTTATCTCATAAAAATCAAAAAATAAAAAATAAATATTTAAAAAAAAAATTACTCTTCTATTTTCTGTGCTTACATGAGTTATGAGTATATGGATGCCAACATATCATCCTTAGAGAGTCAAATTTGCTTCTTGACTTCTATAATAAAGGAATTTATCTTAAACTCGGAAGCTCAAGATGCCAAGACATGCAACATTTGCATGTCTCACAGGCATTTTACGGATTTCTGTCCAAAGCTCCAAGATGAATACCTTGAACAAACTGATGATGTTGGTTACGAAAGAGATGTACCTCACATGAGGTATGATCCATTCTCCAACTCTAATATGTCTACGGGGGATATGGTCCGGGCTATTGCTACCAACATGACCACCATGCAAAACAACATGGTGCAATTCCAAAATGAGACCAAGTCTAGCATTTCAAACTTGGAAACTCAAGTGATTCAAATAGCCAGAGCCATAAGTAGGCTTGAAGCAAGGGATTCGGAAAAACTTCCCTCTCAAATAGAATGTGATCCTAAACAGCAAACTTTTGCAATCACATTGACAAATGAGAAGGAAATGCAAAAGGAGATCCAAAATCCAGAAGAAGTAGAAGAAAGGGATGCAGAGCTCCAGCTAGTCAAAGAAGAGGATGAACCAAGTTTCAAGGTCAAATATCTATTTTTGTCATCCTTTGAGGTACCCCCAACAATTCTAAAAATTTTGAGGGAAACTCATAAAATTGACAAGGATAATGACATTTTTGAAATCTTCAGCAAAATTGAGGGATCAAAACATTTTTCGTTGACCATGTTTAACGATAATTTCTTTCCCTCACTCCCACCACATGAATCAATGAAAATCTGGATATTTGATCCTGGAAAGATTTCCAAAGTGAAGAGTCGGAAAATTGAGCATTCCTATGAAAATCCTAGGAGTGGAAATGTGAAGATGGTGAATTATCATGATCCAAGCTTGAAGGATTGAACACAATGATGGCGTCGTGCCGCGACGTTAAATGAGGCGCTTCTTGGGAGACAACCCATGCAAAGTATGTTTTCTTATCATTTCATTTCAGTTGAGTGTGTGTGAAAAAAAAAGGTGAAGGTTTCGAAGAAAGGAAGCATACTCGGTCGAGTATCACTCAATACTCGGTCGAGTATCAACGGAAAAGGCTTTCCCAATGCTACTGCCTCCAGACGCAAAACGAACAAATAGAGACATACTCGATCGAGTATCACTCAATACTCGGTCGAGTATGACCAGAAGTGCAGGTTCAAAAGGCTACTGCCTCCGGAAAAATTTGAGCATTTAGAGACATACCCGGTCGAGTATCCACCAATACTCGGTCGGGTATGAGTGAAAATACCTCCCAGACGCTGCTGCCAAAAAAAAAAAACACAGGCATACCACATCAGATACAACGAGATACGCGGTCGGGTAATTGGGATTTCAAACCCAAATCCACACCTAACTCTCCATCTTCTTCCCCAATTCAATCACCCCAAACCTCATACTCATATCCTTCTCTCTTCAAAATCTATCGAAATCCTCCACCAAACCCCACAAAATCATAATCTTGTTCTCACAACTTTCCTCTTTCTTCACATACCCACTAATCCTTAAACTCTAGGAAGCAACCACACCTCTCCCAATCCACAACTTATACCTAAAAAAAGCCGATGGTGATGGCGGGCACTAGGGACAGTGCTTCGAGCTAAGTGAGGGGGAGTAACTCATTGGTACGTACTATTTTTTTTACCTTGTAACTTGCATTATTTTCTTCAAAAAAAAATTATAAAAAGAAAAAAGAAAAAGAAAAAATGCTAGTTAGGTTGAAAACCCAAAAACGGGCAATCTAAGCAAAAGGGGCTTACAAAAAAATGATGAGTGAGTTGGAAAGGATGGAAAAATTAAAAGAGGTGCTAGGATGAAAACCTGAAAAGGCTTCTAGGCAAAATGAGAGATATGAGAGATATATTTGTTTTTTGTAGGACATCATTTAATCTCTTGAAGGAAAAGAAGAAAAGAAGAGAAGAAAAGAGATAAGCATAGAAGGCCATAAAACCCAAGAAAATGTTATTCTTTGAGCTAAAACTCATGTGTTATTCTTGGTGGTCTTTTGATCTTTCTTGTTAATTGTTGAACTATGGAGGACTTAGAAAGCTTGTAAACATTTGGCTTTACTCGAGGACGAGTAAAGAAACTAAGTGTGGGGGAGTTGATACGCGTGTAATTTCCGTGTGTATGTTTACGTTTTTAGTTAGTTTTGGTTGTTTAATATTTCGGAAATTACACACTTTTGGTGTAATAGTTTAGTTTGTTAAATTCTTGTAAATTGTTTAGATCAGGTTTATTCTGAGCTCAAACATGTCTACTATCACTCAAAGGACAGTTGGTGAACCCCAAAAGTGGAAGGAAGGTGCAAAATCACAAGACAAAAGGGAAGATCCTATTTTTTGGTCTATACTCGGTCGAGTATCATCTATACTCGATCGGGTATCTTGTTGAAATTTCAAATCGGATCGGATCCGAAAACAAAGAAACATGCAGGGAAGATTTTGACCACGATCGAGTGTCTATACCCGATCGGGTACACCGACATACTCGATCGGGTATGACTATAAATTTTACTCTAATTTCGATCGAGTATGGATCGAATTCGAGTTTCTACACATACTCGATAGAGTATATGTATATACTCGATCGAGTACCCGACCTGCACCCCAAAAAAGCCTATAAATACACCCCCTTTGTTACTAGTTATATAAAAAGAGAAGTATTCCTTTCCCTGTGGATACGAACCTTACTTCATTATACTACGTATAATTGTTGTATTGTATTATTATTTTGAGTGCACACCACGACAAAGTGCACGTCAATACTCGGTAACATTTTGGTGATGGCTATGGCACTACAAAAAAAAACACGAGATTGACAGAGATTTTGGCAGGGATTTGGCACGAAAAATCGGTAAGTCCGTGCCAAATTCCGTGACAATCCCGTAATATTTTTGTAGTGTGGTATACTTCCTCCGCTCTTAAATAAGTGCAACAGTTAACATTTCACATTTGTCGAGGCGCAACTTTGACAATTAATAAATAACTCTCTATTAGTAAAAAAAATCAGATTTTCAAAATTTACAATGAGACAAATTTGGTAATAATTTTTTCAAAAATATATGTTAATACATCAATAAATAAAATGTAGTCAAAGTAGAACATATGAATAGTGTTACTTAAGAACAGAAGTAGTATTAAAAATGATAGAGGGCAACCACATCTATCATGGATTTGATTGATTACTATTATGTCATTCAATTATGTTTAAATTATGGGGAAAATAATTAAAATACCACAAACTTTGTAAGGGTGTAAGGTAAGCACCCCAAACTTGCATATGTAATATAAGTACCCACATAAAGTAACAAGGAAGAGTTTTGTCACTTTTAGTACGTCCTCTGACTATTATGTCATTGACATTTTTGGTATCCGACTTTAATTTTGTCCATTTTTAGTCCTTAACTATTGCGCTAGAGACACTTATGGTACCCGTCTTTGAAAATTTCCATACTTAGTCCTTCAATTTATAAAAGTGACCTGTACTTTTAGTCCTTCAACTATTATAATAATGACATTTTTAGTCCTCCGATTATTGTGTCAAAATCATAATGGGAGGACTAAAAGTGTCACTTTGACAATACTTAGGGGACCAAATGTGGAAGACCTTGAAGTCGGGGTGATGGATAGTCTACCCGGGGGGTATCTTATCCGAGGGGTTATTGCGGGAATAACTAGAGAGAAGTCAGAGCAAATAGGAGGAGAGAGAGTCGATTTTATTATATGAACTCAGAGTGTGAGAGTTGGGATCGTTTACAAGGAGAAATGGGTTTCTATTTATAGCAGCAATAAATGCGATGAGAGTACACGTGTCGGTTATCCAATGGCCGAAGGGTCACATCAATCGGGTGGCACTGGCAGTGGCACGTTCACCGCATTGAATGCGGTGGGTGGATGTGACGTCGCATTAAATGCGGTGGTTGGCTGTCTCCAAAGGGAATCTTCGATGATTGAGCCTGTTTGGCCGAAGGCTCCTTACGTAGCCGAGGGTTCTGTGTAGTAGGAGGCACGTGGATGCCGGGGGGCCCTCTGATGCCGGAGGCCCCTCTGATGCCGAGGGCTCCATGTCTGCCGAAGGCTTCCGATAGCCGAGGGCTACCATTTTACGCCGTTCTTTCCCAGTGGTTCCTTATGCCAAAATCTGGCTGCCCTGTGTTATCTGGAGCCTTCGGTTAAGTCGCCCGGAGGCACCCCAATGTGCATTCTGGGCTTCTTTGAGGCTTGGGCCGTCGTATTTGGGCCCGAGATGCTCCCTGGGCTTAATGGGCCTTTGTAGGAGAAGTAGGAGTCTATGGGCCGGGGGTTTCTGGGCCATATACTCCATCACGGGGACTAAATGTGTCTCTAGCACAATAGTCGAGGACTAAAAATGGAAAAGTTAAAAGTCAAGTACCAAAAGTGTCACTGACATAATAATCGGAGGACCGAAAAGGGAAATAACTCTAACAAGGAATGCAATAAGATACAAGACTGAGTCCCCAAGCAACCTCGGCATTCACAAACAACGATGCACCGAGAACTATACTCTCTCCAAGTCTAACAACATGGAGTGTTATTAACATAAGGTCTGAGGATGCGGTCCAGTCTAGCTGGATGCCAACTTACTCTTCCTTACGGGAGGTCTCGGGTTCGAAACTCAAAGGAGTGAATTTCAGCCCTCATTACTCCAGGGCCCCCCCTCCTCTAGGAGCCCCCTGGAGTAAAAAACCTCCAAAGTCCCACCAATTCATTCTCAAAAGATCTCCAAGTACGTATGGAGGAGAGATACTGAAAGTCTACTTCATTAAGCTGATGACTTCGTCACACTTCATCAAGTGAGGGACATATATATATATTGATGCATAAAATTATTAAGGTGTGACTGACGCTTCTTAAGCTTCGGGCATAGTAGGCCGGCCAAGCTCAAGCCTCATCTCAGTACCTCAGTGAAGACCAAACCTATGTCTATCAAAGACTCGGAATGATTTTTTCATCAATGTCTATCAAAGTTCAATTCACATTACTTCAGATAATTGTCTGATCAATTCTCGAACAATTAGAGATTTGATGTCATAATCTTTTTTGAGGGGAGGCTAATTAGGCCCCTTGATCACGTGTATTGTTTTATGGCGACCCCGGACGTGTATAAACTCAACATATGTGACTCCGTTTTAGAAAGCTCAAGCAATGCGGCACATGAAGGTATTTTTTTTTATGAGCACAAAGAAAGTTTGATTCGTGGTTTTTTTACTACGTATTACATTGGGGGTTCCATTAGGCCCGCAGCCCACTTCTCCTTGGCTGCTACTCTACATTTTCTTAAGGAAGCCATTTTATTTGGATGGTTTTATCGACAGCCACAAAATTACTAATTACAGCCACCTAATTATAATTAATTAAAAAAATAATTTCAAATATCTATTTTACCCTCCTACCATATATTACAATTTGTTCACTACATACGTGATACGACTACTAACAATATAGGCATCTATAATATTCCATAAAAATCCTCTCTGAGTCGTTCTCTTCTTGTTCTGCTGTCGATGAACAACTTTAGCAGACTAACAATACTCAATAAAATGAGTACTTCGCTATGAAACTGAGAAGGCAATATGGCCTAGTACTCTGGTGTACTCACTCTTCCATTTTTGGTCACGAAAACCGGTAGACAACAGGGGTGGGGAGCCTGGAAAACAGAGAGCACTTCGAAGGGGTAAAGCTTTTAGAAACTTTATGGAGTAGTGGAGTACCATTCTCCTCAAGTTCTATCCAATATTAAAATTGAGCTGTTTATCAACAAGAAGTGACAGAGAATCAACATTTGATTTTATTCTTTCAACTTAAAGGTTAGGTAAAGAGTTATAGCAATGAAATAAAATGTGGAAAACTGGAATATAGTGTGTTCAACTCACAAGATCTCATTATTCTACACACCTAATACTCCACTACTTTTTCTTGAATCAACTTTTATACCTTGGATGAAATCAGTGACAATGGCTTTTACCGTGAAGAACAAGATGTCGTTTCTTGAAGGCTCTATTGAACAACCATCTCCAGCTGACACTGATCTCTATTCAGCCTATTTTCGTGTCAATGCTTTACTCTTACTTGGCTTGTGTATTCCATTTGTCCTAAAATTCGTTCTACCTTTCTTTACTTTACCAACGCTAAAGAAGTCTGGGATGAAGTCAAACTTGGATATGGAAAGAGTGATGGTCCTCATATCTTCTATTTAGAGAAAACCTTAAGCAATATCTCCCAAGGTTCATAATCTGTTACTCCATATTATAACATTTTTAAAGGTTTTTGGGATGAATATTGAAACTATAGGACCCTTCCTGCTTGTTCTTGTGGTCCATCTCAACCAAGCATATCAAGAGTTATTACAAAAAGAGTCTGTCCTTCAATTCTTGGTAGGACTTAATAAGTCTTATGCTAATCTTCGTAGCCAGATTCTTCTGCAAACTCCTATTTCTAGTTTTTCTAATGTTTACTCTTTGCTTCTTCAAGAAGAATCTCAGCGTTCATTGCATCATCCTTATGAATCTGTTGCTATGCTCAATACTCAACTTAGCACTGAAACTTTTTCCAATGATTCTAGTGCTTTTCTTGTCAAAAAGACTTTTTTCAAGAAAAAGTTAACTGGTAGTTTTAACCATTGTGGTTATCAAGGCCATTCTTCAAAAAGATGTTACCAAGTCATAGGTTATCCTCCTAACTTGTAACACCGTCCCCAAATGTATTTACTTTCAAGTAAATGATGTAATAAACCTTATGGAATGATTTATGAATTTACGAAGTTGTAAATTTTTATTATTTCTTTCGCGTGAATAGTAAAATGCACGTGGGACCCACACCGGGAGCGGGGGCCGCCCGATATTCCCGAGATCACATAAATTATTCGTATGGGTCGAAATAATATTTATATAGTGGTGGGCATCTTAATTGGGCCATGGGAAGGCCTGGGGTTGATCGATTGGTCAAAAGAAGCCCAATTATCGGTACCGACAATTTAACAGATAGCAGCCCAGAAATGAATTTCGGAGACTTCAAAATTAGAGTTTTGGAATATCTATTATTTCAAAGGGGCGTATGATTGAGGACACATAATATATTTTATTTTACCCGATAAAATAAAATATGATTAAAACAGTCCGAAAAATACAACTTTCGGGACCAATTGTACACACCGGGACACAAAGGGATGACCTCCCACATGAGTGGGGGCCACCCCACGTTTTTGTGTGCAAGAGTTGACTAATTGGTGCCATAAGGACACATGAAGGATGGATGATAGGATGGGAGGAACATGGTTGAAAGCTAATGGACCCCTTTCCATCCACTCATTGGCTAAAGGAGACAAAAACCACCTCTCCACCCTCTTTCATCTATCATGCTCGACCAACCAAGCAAAAGGAGGAAGGAAAGAGCTCTGCAAACCATCCCCATAGCTGAAAATTCGAGCTCAACCTAAGGGAGTCCAAGGAGGAAGATTAAAGAAGGAAAAAAGTTGGGAAAAGTGTGATTAATTAAGGTAATGACCTTATTATAACTTTTCCTTTAATTTTCTTCTACCATATAAGGTATATATCATACGAAGGACCCTTAGTATGGTTTCACATGCTATAAGGGTGGATTTATGGGTTGGAAGATGGTTCTATGTCCAAGAACGGACTTAGGAGCCAAAACAATCGGTTCACCGGAAAATAACCTTTTTTAGGTTATTTGTATTAATATGGGTTTTATGATTATAAAACCTTGTTAGGCACTTGTAAAGGGTATTTCAAGTGATTTCACAAAGTTGGAAAAGTCACCGGAATTGTCGTCGGAGTTGACCAAAAGTCGCCGGAGTTTCACCGGAGTTCAACCAAGAAGGGTAGAACTTCATAACGCTAGTTCAAGGTGAGTGGGCGGCTTAATATCTTATAACTTTTGGGTTAATTATGAGATTACCTAAATAAATGTTATATGTGTTCGTAATGATGTTTAAAAGATATTTAAACATGTGATTAGCCAACATGATTAAGTTGTATGAAAAGAATTAATTGTTTATGCTTGAATTATGATATGAGGAATTATATAAAATGCATATTTGCTTGAAGTGTAAAAGAAGCACAAATGAATACTTTTAACTTAATTATATGATGATTAAGTTAATAAGTGTAAGACTTGAAATGGCGGTCAACGACAACGTTGACCGATGGATAATGGATTAATTAATATCGGTTGATATTAGTTAATTATACATTTATATAATTGCATGGATTTGCATGGATTGTGATACACAAGCTTTATGTATTGAATTAGTTATGAATGACTAAGTATGATATAGATTCTATCTAGGTTGATAGGAGGTTGATCATAGGGAAATATTTTGGTGGAGGACCCTAGTACTTAAAAGTACTTAACACTCAAAACTTGGTGGAGGACCCTAGTACTTAAAAGTACTTAACACTCAAAACTTGGTGGAGGACCCTAGTACTTAAAAGTACTTAACACTCAAAACTTGGTGGAGGACCCTAGTACTTAAAAGTACTTAACACTCAAAACTTGGTGGAGGACCCTAGTACTTAAAAGTACTTAACACTCAAATCTTGGTGGAGGACCCTAGTACTTAAAAGTACTTAACACTCAAAACTTGGTGGAGGACCCTAGGACTTAAAGTCCTTAACACTCAAAACTTGGTGGAGGACCCTAGTACTTAAAAGTACTTAACACTCAAAACTTGGTGGAGGACCCTAGGACTAAAAGTCCTTAACACTCATAGATTTTGATATTGAAATAGGGACAAGGAGGAGTCCTATACACTCATAGGTATATGGGTGGGTTGAGGTTTTTAGTCAAGAATATTGACTATTATTATTTTTCCCAAATAAAACGGTGATCTACGGATCGGATATTTTCCAAGTATATATATACTAATGAGTATTTCATAACTTGGGGGAAAAGACTATTTATGTAAGTATCACCCTATGTTTGGGTCTTATACTTGAAACGCTAGTTATTCTATATTTAGCCTGCTACTCGCTCGGTACTTGCACTGACCCCTTCGGGGGGCCCCACCATTTTCAGGTTGAAGCTAGGGCTTGCTACTTGCACCTTCTTACGGGTGATATCAACTCAGGAAGACGTGGTTCGTGCTTCCTTATTTTCTTTCAAACTACCGAACACTTGCTCATGGATATTTGTTCTACTATAAACTGTTTTTGGGCCTGCATGCCCATGTTGTTGGCCGGTTGTGGCTTATGACTTACCATTGAATATTTCGGCTATTCACTGGTTTAAATGTTATGTTGTTATGTATGTTTACTACTGAGTATGGATGAATTATTTTCTCGAACGCCTTGTGTAATTAAATGAGGTTGACTCGCGGGTGACGTCACTTGATTATACGGCGGTTGTACACGCGCTTGGATTGCGGTCTGGGGCGTGACATAACTAGAAAGGATCTAAAGGGAAAAGAGTTGCTCCTGGTTTTAAACCTTTTCATTCACTACCAAAGTCCAAAACTTCTCAAGCACATCTTGCTTCTAATCATAATCCTCAAGAAACTGCTAAAGACTGTGTCTCTCAAGAAAATGCCCACTTGGATCTATGCAACCCTGATATGTACAACAAGTTCTTACAATTCATCAAAACTCAAAATAATACCCATTCTTCTCCTCATGCTGCAACGATCGCTCACCTAGTTGCACCCATTTATTCTACTAACACTACTTCATTCCTAGGTAAACACATTGCTCTAAATAGTTTTATTAATTCCACTACTTGGATTTTAGATACTGGTGCATCAGATCATATGATCTATGATGCACACTTATATACTTCTATGATTAAACCTATTTCTATAAAACTTCAAATTCTAAATGGTTATTTTATTACTGCAACTCAAGTTGAAAATGTTCAAATAAATAACAACCTTACCTTTCATAATGTTTTGTATGTACCTGAGTTTCACTTTAATCTTATTTCTGTTTTAAGCCTAGTTTTACATGACAATCTTTCTGTCAGCTTCACCTCTAATCATGCTTCATTGCAGGACCAGCTTACCAACAAAATCATTGGTTATGCTGACTTGAAAAAATGGACTCTATCATTTCAAAGCTCCTCTTTCCACTGATATTTGTGCTCATCATATTGCTCATTCTGTTTCTAGCAAAGGCGATCTTTCTTTTAATATTTGGCATTATAGACTAGGTCATACTTCTTACAATAAACAGAAACTCTTACCTGATTGTAATACATCTTCTTCAGATAACAGAAGTGTTCCTTGTGATATTTGTCATTTTGCTAAACAAAAAAAATTACCTTTTCCTGACAGTATTGCTTATGCTTCTTTTCCTTTTGATCTAGTGCATATGGATATTTGGGGACCGTTTAAAACACCTTCTTACTCGGATTTTACCGTTGTTGTAGATATTTTCTTACAATTGTTGATGATCAAACTAGATGCACTTGGACTTTTATGATGAAAACAAAAGATGAAACCAGATTTCATATGCTTAATTTTTATACCATGATTGAAACACAATTTCATTAGAAAATAAAAATTATAAGAACAAGTAATGGTAGTGAATTTATGTTTACTACCTTTTATAATTCAAAAGGCATTATTCATCAAAGATCGTGTGTGGAAACTCCCCAACAAAATGGTAGAGTAGAAGAAAACATCAGCATATCCTTCAAACGGCTAGATATTTACTATTTCAGTCTTAGCTTGCTTACCTATTAGTTTTTGGTCCAATTGTATTCTTACTGCTATTCATATTATTAACAGGTTGCCTTCTGTTATTCTAAACAATAAAACTCCCTATGAAATGTTATATAATCATAGAGCAGATTATTCTCATTTGAAAGTTTTTGGTTCTTTGGCTTTTGCATCTACTTTGTGCTCATAGAAATAAGTTTCACACAAGAGCTCACAAGTGTGTTCAGGGCCGGCTTGGGGATTGTAGAGGCCCTAGACAAAAAACACAGAGTATTGAGTCCGTCATAATCTATTTATAAGTATCATTTCATAGGTCGGTCAAACAATTATATAATCAAATCTCTACATATATATTTATTATTTTCTCTTTGCATATACAAACTAAAATTCTCGTGTATTAGTCGTAACAAGACCTGCATACGTATTAAAAATTTAAAAATAAAACAATAACAAAAAGGTTGAAATATTAAAAGTCATAAATCAAAATAAAAGGCTGTTATAAGCTCAAATTAAGTAAATACCGACTCTTAACTTTACAAACTAAATTGTTTTAGAGTAGTTTTTTGGAAATAGAGATGATTTTGTGCATCTTATACTATGTAACACTTTTTTATAAACTATGAACTTAGAAGAAATTAAAACTACTTTGGTTGGAGAGCAACAAAATCAATGTGTAATTATAAAAAAGGACGGCCATATATCAATAATAACGGTAACGCAAGACAACAATAAGATACATATAATGGTCCTGTCAATTTTTACTCCGTTTGGCATTGAGATAGTGGAGTAAAGCACCACCACTCTAAATGATATTTGCTTAGGAATTTACAAGAAGATCAATATGCTGATATAACTCTTCTAACTCAATTTTGGAATATCATCATGAGTTAATACTATTTCGTAATTACTAAGTAATTTTTTGTAAATGAGGCCCCTTCGAAACATGAGGCCCTAGGCAGCTGCCTTGGGCAACTCTCCATAAGGCCGGCTCTGAGTGTGTTTTATAGGATATCCTTTATGTGTTAAAGGTTATAAACTGTATGATTTAAATACTCATAAGATTTTCATATCCAGAAATGTTTATTTTTATGAAACTATTTTTCCTTTCAAAACAGAAAATTATGCCAATACGGACTCTGTTGAAAATATTGACTCTATTCAGAATCCGAACTGTTTATATGAATTTTCTAATCCTTCTAATACTAATATTACTAATTCCAAACAAACAAACAACAATGATACTAGTTTTAATTATTACTAAACATATATAGATCATCAAGGGTGAGATCTTTACCTACTTTTTTTTTACTCCAGGGGGGTCTGGGGGAGGGGGGCTGGGGGGGAGCCTGGAGTAATCTGGGCTGAAACTCACTCCATTGAGTTTCCACCCCTTGTGTGCCTAGTGGGATTCGAACTCGAGACCTCCCACTAGGCACGGTAACCACACAACCAGATGGGCTGGAATGCTTGGTTCTTTACCTACTTATCTCAATGATTATTATAATTATTATGATTTACCTACTTCTATAGATCATCCTTCTCATTCTTGTAATATTGTTAAATATCCCATCCAAAATTATATTACAAATAAAAGACTCACATCTTCCTATAATTGTTTTATTACCGTTGTTTCCAAAATTTGTGAACCTAAAATATAAAATGAAGCTATTTAAATCCCAAAATGGAAAACTGCAATGGAAACTGAAATAAAAGCTCTTGAGAAAAACAATACTTGGATTTTAGTTACTTTGCCTCAAAATCATCATATTATAGGATGTAAATGGGGTTTTCAAAACCAAATTAAAATCTGATGGCACTTTAGAAAGACATAAAGCTCGATTAATTGCAAAAGGTTATACTCAAGAATATGGTCTTGATTATTTCAATACTTTTTCTCCTATAGTGAAACTTACTACCATTAGACTTTTAATTGTTATTGTTGCTGTAAAAAACTGGGTTTTACATCAATTAGATGTAAACAATGCTTTCTTGCATGGTGATTTGCAAGAAAGTATACACATGAACCCTCCTCCAGGTTATCTACCTTCTAATGACAACAGTTTGTAAACTGACCAAAAGCCTATATGGTTTGAAACAAGCATCGAGACAATGGTTCTATAAGCTCTCTCTTTTTCTTAAATCTATTGGATACATTCAATCTAAAGTTGATTGCTCTCTTTTTACTAAAGCTACTCGAATTTTTTTACTGTTTTATTATTATATATAGATGATATTATCCTTGGTGGTAATGACTTCAATGAAATTGAAAATGTAAAACATCATCTACATGAACAGTTTACTATCAAAGATCTTGGTGAATTAAAATATATACTAGCTAGGTATTGAAATTGCTAGATCTACAAAAGCAATTTGTTTATATCAAAGAAAATATAGTTTAGATATTCTTTCAGAAACTGATTATTTAGCCTCTAAACCTTTCAATACTCCTATGGATTCAAAACTGAAGTTGTTTAAGAATAATGGAACACCACTATCCGGTCCTAAAAAATATAGAAATCTAATTGGAAAGTTTCTTTATCTCATTGTTACTAGGCCTGATATTGCTTATAGTGTACAAACATTAAGTCAATTTTTATCCACATCAACTGACAATCATCTTAATGCTGTTCATAGAACTCTTAGGCATCTAAAGAGCACCCCTGCAAAAGGTCTTTTTTATTCCAATTCATCTGATTTTCTTTTAAAAGGATATACTGATTCTGACTGGGAAGGCTGTGTTGATACTGGAAAAAGTGTTTCAGGTTACTATTTTTACTTTGGCAATTCTTTAATATCTTGGAAATCCAAAAAAAAAAAAAACCTGTTATTAGCAGGTAGCTTGTGAAGCTCAATTTTTAGAATACCTTTTGAATGATTTCAAAATTCTGTATTCTTCTCCTATAGTTTTACATATGAATAATCAATCAACTTTTCACTTAGCACATAATCCTGTTCAACATCAAAGAACTAAACATATTGAAATTGATTGTCATCTTATTAGAGAAAAATAAATATCTCAAGGTTTGATTCATCTTGCTTTAATTAAAAATCTTTTTCAGCTTGCAGATATCTATACAAAGCCTCTCTCAAATTCATTATTTGCTGATATCATTGCCAAGATGAACTTTATGGATATGCACGCTCATCTTGAGGGGTATTAGAGCTCTTATGAATTAATTGGATACTGAGTGGACACTGAATTATATTTAGCTATGTACATATACCACCTATGATATATTTTCGTATTATTGATAGTTAAAGGACTAGGGCTGGGTAATTTTTTTAAAGACCCGGGCCGGTTCCAAAATAAAAATATACCGGGTATCCAGCCCGACCCGTTATATATATTGTATATTAATATATTAATAGTTTTGTGATAATCGGTTTTGAAATAGTTTTGTTTTCCAAGAAGGATTTTTAAATTGAGTTGCAATAACATCATTTTGTTTTCTAATTAATGATTAAATTTTACATAAATATCTTATTACTTTTTATTGTTATTGAATTATTCCTTTCTATGGAATTTAGTTATTTGTTAAAAATGATTTTGTAATTTTTTTTATAATATTGTTCTTAAAATATATAAATTGTGCTTATCACCCTCATGTATGTGTCAACTTTGGCTAATATTGAAAATTTAATATAAAAAAACAATCACCTTAATATGTGATGTTAGACAACATGTTTAAATTCAAATGTTAGAAAATATGTATTTTGGTTATGTTGCTGATTTTTGGAACTTTTTTAACTGTTTGGAACTTATATACATGAAATTATGGAGTATAGAACATGTCATCTGTGTTACATGTGCACCACTATGTTGTTATTTTGAAACTTGCTAATGTACTTATTATTGATTATTGATTTTTAGAACTTCATGAGTTTTTACCAATTTTAAGACATAAGAAAAGAAACCGTAAAACCCGGACCGGACCGACCCGTTTCAAACGGGCCGGGTAAGGTCTGGTTCCTATTTTGAAAATTGCAATACCCGGACCGGACCGTACAATGGATCTGGCGCAGTGGCGGTTTCATTTCATTTTGCATTACCCGATCCCACTGGCCCGTGCCCAGCCTAATAATAGATCAATCGGTAAACAAAGCAGAGTAAACAGACATTTCATCTTCTCCGATTACTAGTATTCCTTGATACTACTGATATTCTAAATATTCTACTTGATTTGATAATCAATAGGAGGCGAAGGGTAAGCCACACAGGTGTTGGCCGGAGGCGGTGTGTGTGGCGAAAGGGGCGGTTGAGGCCGGTGAAGGTGGAGGCCGAACTTCGGAGACGTGGCTATGGAGGCTGGGCGGCGAAGATGGTGGCTAGAGAGGCCGGGACAGTGGAATCCGTTCCAGTGGGATCGATGGAGGCAACAAAAATGGAAGAAAGTAACCGGATTTACAGTGGAGACAAGAACAAAAGGAAGAAGCGAACAAGGGGGAGCAGGTAGGGATGGCAATCTAGCCCGACCCGACGGATACCCGCACCGAACCGGTCAAAATGGGGAAAACTGCTTTGACTGGGTAACGGGTACGGGGCGGGGGATACCCGATTTATGTAAACGGTTAATGAGGCAGTTATGGGTTTATACCTACCCGCCCCGTTACCCGCCCCGTTTAATTTGGATACGGTTACCCGCACCATTGTCCGACCCGCACAATTAACTTATATATTTTAATAGTTTATGTATTTATTATTTAATATAGTAAGTATATATGAGTAGTAGTACATTAGTATATGACACTTATTCCCTCTAATACTTTGAAACAATATTCAACTTATCGCCTGTTATCGGTTATCCTTTGCAATTATGAGGACTTGGTGCTCAAAGTTCACTATTTTAGATTTTAAATTTTCAATACCATTCATAATCCTTCCTTTGTTAACTTCTACAAGATTAATTTTCTTCACATATTGATTATTTGATTTTTGTGATTTTCTTTACGCAATTTTCACATTGTGACTCTCTTAATTTTTCACCCAATAACTTTCATAAAACTCACTTATGAGTTTAAAGTCCAAATATTTTAGATTACTCTACCTTGCTTTAATTTATGTAATTGCTAATAATTTTGTAGAGGTGTATTGGATGATTAAATTGATTTTGATTGGTTGCTATAATTTATATCAAGTTTTAAATTTTAAATTATGATTTTGTGGTACTATTTAATTTTGTTTTTAACTCTATTTAACTCTATCTGTGGTACTATTTAATTTTGTTTTTTTTTTTAATTTAGGTGGTTAATGATAAGTAGTTAATCATCATTTTAGGATTGATACTAATTTTGAAGGGAAAATATTATATTTTAATAAAACGGTTACCCGCGGGGAAACCGTTACCCGCGGGGAAAACCGTTACCCGCGGGTAAAAAATACCCGATGGGTAACGGGACGGTTTCGGGGAAATTTTTTATCAAACGGGGCGGGTACGGGTAATGGTATACCCGTCCCCGAACCGCCCCGTTGCCAACCCTAGGAGCAGGGGACTGAGAGGTGAGAGGAGAAGAGGAACGGGCCAGGAAGAAAGAAAGAGAAAAAGAAAAGAGGAAGAGAAAAAGAAAAATAAAGAAAAGAAAAGAAACGGAAAACAGTAATAAAAGAACGCTAGCTGGACATCCACATAGGCAACTCACCAGGTGACCGGTTAGCTAGCTACCTACTACCTCCGTCTAATCATGGACCTGGGCCGGGTCCAAGACTACCTCCGTCCCAAAAAATTCTTCTCACTTACCTTATTGAGATTTCCCAAAAAAAAATTCATATTACCCATTTTGGAAAGATTTGTGTAGCTACCGTTGAATTACCTTTTTCTTACTAACCACAACCACATACATTTCCACTTTATTCCTATTTAAACTTTGATCCAAGTCTAACTAGGAAGAATTTTCCGGGACAGAGGGAGTATTAAATAGCAAATTTGGTCGTGTTTTGATAGTTTGCGGACTCGATTGACTCGAGAAAACGAAGATAGACTCAATTGACTCGAGAAAAAGTAGATAGAGTCAATTGACTTTTTGTGAAAAATGGGTGGGACCTATTTGACAGTTTTCCCTTTCATCTTCCATTATTTTTAAATGCTAGCGGACAGATAATTTTCTTAGTAAGGTATACCCTATTAATTAATTAAGTGTTAACTCAATTTTTCAAAGTTTGGAATAAACTATTAATGGTTGCTTTCACTCAAAGTTCCAATGAGCATGTCGGTTTGTAACATTTCTATCGCCATTCATTAGTATGCCTAGTATCCATTATAAACTAAGTGTATTGAGAATGTTAAACAAAAATGTTTCTAGAATAACGTAGTTCTTGCAACATTTTATAATGGATTAACACCAACCCTTTGAAAATCTGGATGGATCAATAGTCAATACTCCATCCACAATACTCCATCCACAATACTCCATCCACAATATCTACGTACCCTTATACCTGAATCCAGATGGACACGCATTGTCGGTTTCCAAATTTCCTTACGTAACTTTTGGTTATACACATATGCATTATATTATATATGAGTCCTCAACTTTATTTGTTACTCCGTATCAGATTTGGTCCGTCACCAAGAAGTCTATCCATTTTTAGAACATTTCCACCTTAATATACACATCCCATCAAGACACATACCGGAGGGTCTTTTCTTAAAACACGGGAATTCCTTGCATGAAGTGCCAAATAACGGGACTTATTTTAGGTTTTCCAAAATTACGGTATTCGGAAGTCACCTTTCCCACTAAATGAGGGTTTATCAAAAAATTCCAAAAGAATGCTTCTTAGTAGGAACTCCCAGTTCCGAGTGGGCGAATCCACTGCTTTTTCATGAGTAGGCTTTTGATTTTTAACTCAAAGAGGACTTATAATTATCTTTACCAATTTTATACCTCATATATTAATTACTACATATTACATATTACATGTGGAGATGTAAAACACGTGGACTAGTTGGAGCCTTATTATTTATTTTAGAGTCCTGCTTGGGGTACCCCAATTTGTACCACAATCTATACAACGTCTGTGTACACAGACATTTGGACAGAAAGTCATGCCCTCTTTCAAACGAATTGCCTGTGTACACAGGCAATTCAGGGGGTGGGTATAAAATGAGGTACATTTTGGGGGTACCTATAATTTTTTTGTTAATTTTAATCTAGAAATCATAATAATTAACATTTTTATATATCATATGATTTATGTTAAAAATATATAAAATGAAATTACTTTTCATGATCTTTCTTATAATTAATATTTGTTATGTAATTTTTAAATAAAATTATTGCATGTCTATATTAACTGTTACTCCCTCCACCCCGTTGAGATTGTCTCGCCTTTCTCTTTTGGAGACTCCCGCTAATTAAGATCGTTAATTTGATAAAAATTTGTGTAGTTTTAAATCATTCTTACCTTATTTAAGTTTATCGAGTCAATATCAATTCAACTATATACAATTACTTTTATTAATAATCTCACCATCTTCTCATGTCTCAATGTTAGTTGGACGGAGGTAGTACTAGATTATACAAAAAAATTGATTGAAGAGCAATAAAAAAGATAGCTAAAAATGGAAGCAACTATATATGTATTTTGTATTTTTGTTCCCAAATATGAGTTATTTTGTTCTATTAAAGAATAAATCTTTACAAATTATAAGTGAAAGAATTATAGTTACTTGATAAAAATCTTACTGTTTGTTTTAGTTTTGTTTGGTATTACAACTTATTGTGACTATTTATCAGATAAAAAATAAAGAAATTCTATCTGATTAGTATATGCACTATATTTCAATTTTTGTTTTTAAACCTTATATATACAATACTGGTGTCATATGGAATCTCGTAAAAAGTTATGAATTTTGATATATTTTTTATAAAAGTCGGAATATAAATACAAAAGTTACAACAATTTAAGGATTGATATTTATTATTTATATGGGACCACTTATTTCTCTCTCACCATGTAGCACGCTACCCTTTGGAAATGGGATTTACAAAACTCCCGTATTTTCATACAAGAAAACACACTCCCGTGTTTTTGCATGACATTTGCAAAAGTCCCGTATTCTTGGGAATTCCTCCATACCGGAGGCGACATCACTGATCACTGTTGCCAAATTTCCCTAACTAGAAATGTACTTTCCGGTGAAAAAATGTTTTATTATGGTGAACCAATTGATTAATTACTCCGTATAAGACGTGTTTGGATCTAATTCTTAAAATGGTTTCTGCTTTTTCAGGGAGCAAAATCAAAAGTTGAAGTGTTTGGATGAAAGTGCAGAAGTACTTATGGTGCTCTAATTTACTCCTAGCAGAATCAGTGTTTTAGAAATTGGGAGAGACCGACTTCTAAAAACTGATTCTGATTCTGCTTCTGCTTTTAAAAAAGAAGCAGAAACAGAATCAGTTCCAAACACCCCTAAATATGCAAGTGAGGAACAACTTTTTTATATACCGAAAGCAGACACACTAAATCTACATTTTAATCACAGAACTAAATTGAATGGGGGATGAAGTGGTGTTTTTGAGTACTGACATATTGGTAAGCTCTAAGTATTAGGTGCTTTTAACATTGTTGTTAATAATTAATATCTTAACCATAAATTTATGTCCTATTTGGGACAAACTCACAAACACCTACCTCTTGTGTTTTCATACTAGGTATATGTCAAACATTTCTCTCCCAATTAAATTTTGAACTTGCTTCTAAGAATATTACAGTATGAGCTTCTTTTTTAAGCATATGGGTTTTTAAATCTGAGTAGATCTTAACAGGGACGGAGCCAGGATTTTATTGGAGGGGGCAAAATGTACTACATAAAAACAAACTATCAAATGTACCGTATAAATAGAGGAACACATTGTATTAAAATTTGTTGTGTAGTTGAATATATTTTGTAAGATTTTGTAGGATGATTAAATATAATTGAAATAAAGTAATAAATTTAAACGTATACTCCATATATATTATTCATAAGTAGTACTTTGTATATATTCCATCACTTTAATGTAGTAGAATAGTATATTAAGTGGATGAAAACAAAAATTAACATAAGAAATTAAAAATTCAAAGTACAAAAAAGGGGATTATGGGAACACTATTACTAAAATTATAGAAAAGAATGAAAAGTTGGGAGGGGCAATGGCCCCCCTTATACTATGCATACCTCCGTGCCTGGATCTTAACGTAACATTTCTATGTCATTCATTATTATACAAATGTTGTTGATACACATATTATATATACATATTGTGTACACTCATAATTGTCTGTTTACATGACAATTCGTTCAGAAACTACCTTGTAGATAAAATAAGGGAGTGTAGACAATATGTGTATACCAAGAATGGTTTTCATTAATATATGTAGACACGTACGTAGTACGGAGTATATGTTACTACCTAGTATAGTAAATTGAAAATGTTAAACAACTTATGAGGAATGCGATCCCGTGAATAGAGTTACAGAGAGCCTGAATTATGAATAACTTCTACAATTACCTTTTTCTTGTACTTTTAGTACATAACCTTATCTACCCGTATAGATACATCTAAATGAACACACATTATTATTGAAGCTACTCTTCAAAAAGCGAGTAAAACAACGTAATGAAGCATTTGAATTTTTTTTACCTAGAAGGCTTTAGACTCGAATTTCTTAGACTTGGTTTGATAGACAAATAATTATCAAGAATCAATAGTAATGTACATGAAAAGTAAGCTATTAAATTGTCTTAAGTCATATGGATAATGAGCAGGGGAGGATCTACGTATAGGCTATTGCGGGATGAAGCCCAAGGCAACTTAGATTTTTTCAATTTTTAGTGTAAATTTTTTTATTTGTAATATTTAGCTCACTCCTTTAATGTTTAAGCCTAGTATAATTAATCTTCAGCCCAGTCTAACCTAAATTCCTAGATCTGCCCCTGATAATGAGTTCATGACATAATGTGATCGAGATTTTATACTCCGTAATAGTTTACGTGGGGTCAATGTTTTACACGGAGTGCATATTTTATCTACATTTTTGTATTTATAGAGCTACGTTTTTCTATCAACACAATTGTAAGTTTGTAACCACTCATACCAATTACGGAGTATATATAGCTTATCGATATATTGAAATATAGTTTGATTCGTGGTTTTTTACTATGCATTACATATTGGGTACGTTAGCAACTTCACAATAGAACTTTGGGATCCATCAGGCCCACAGCCCACTTCTCCTTAGCTGCTACTACATTTTCAGGATAAGGGTCAGTTTGGTCCTCGAAGTTGCAAAAAAGGGGTCAAATAAGTCCTTATATAGAAGATTCTGTCCGGACGTGCCATTTGAGGTGGCTCCCGGTGGAATTTTTTGATGAAATTTTTTGAGCATGTTATTCATTAAATCTAGTTTACTCATACCAAATTTCAGATAAAAATTCAATCGGGAAGACATTCAAATGAAATCTTGAAGATAATTGTGCCGTTAAAAGCGTTGTTATCTTCAAGAATTCATTTGAATGTCTTCCCGATTGAATTTTTAGCTGAAATTTAATTTGGTATGAGTAAACTAGACTTAATGAATAAGATGCTCAAAAAACATTATCACAAAATTCCACCGGGAGACACCTCAAATGACACGCCCGGACAGAATCTTCTATATAAGAACTTATTTGACGTCTTTTTTGCAACTTCGAGGACCAAACTGGCCCTTTACTCCTACATTTTCTCAAGGAAGCATTTTATTTTCTAGCATACAATGCCTATCTGACTATCTCTCTACGAATTGAAAGCCACCATGATCCGTGAAAACGATGGCTCCAAGTTATGTTGTCTAATGTGAGATGATAAAGATGATCAAATTGTTTTTTGCTTCTTCTTTACCCAAAAACATAGTACCTACTCCCCAGGTCTCTTAAAATTTTGTCAAACTTTTTTTTGATTTCTCACTAACTTTGTCACTTTCCCTTTTAAGTATAAAATTTGTGGTTCTAGTTAATTCTCTCTCATCTGCACAAACCTCAACCACACAGTTTTTACTTTATTAATCTCTGTACCGGTCAATCTTGACAAAGTTTTAATGGACGAAGGGAGTATTATTTGGGGAGTACTATCATATTTTGCAAAGCAAAACTTACCTCAATGTATCCATATTTCAAGTTTTAGAAATTACTTCAAATAGGACTAAAACTATAACAAAAACTCAAAATAGGACTTGCTATGTTTTTTTTTCCAAAATAGGACCATAGTGGTCCTATTGGAAACATACTCATTTCTTCCTTCCATTCTTACCCCTCCTTTAAATATTAGTAAAAGATAGCTAAAAGTCATAAATAAATGTTTAATTCATAATAAATTCGAAAAAAATTCAATAATTCGTAGAAAAATAATAAAAAAATTAATGAAATTTTTATAAAATAAAAAATAAGAAAAAATTTTTTTTTAAAATTTTTTTTTTAAAAAAAAAATTAATAAAAAATAGTAAAACTCCATAAAAAAAATTAAAAAAAATATGGATACGTTTCCCACCGCCTGTACTACCTCCCTGAACCACCACCTCCGATCGGTGTAAAAAATGCCACTTTTTTTTTCAATTCCACAAAAATGGCATATTTCTCTATGAGAATGCCAACATTTTCATTCTGCCAACTTGAATCCTTTTGACTTTTGCCAAAAATATGGCATTCATAATTTTTTTGGCATTTTTTTACCCCGGTGACAGGAGGTGGTGGTACCGCCTCCCTGCACCACCACTTCCGACCGTTAAAAAAAATGTCATATTTCCTACAAACTTCCATTTTTTTTGGAAAATGCCAAAAATATGGCATATTTCTCTTTGAGAATGCCAACATTTTTTTTCTTTCATCTTAAATCATTCTGAATTATGCCAAAAATATGGAATTCATAATAAATTTGGCATTTTTTCCCCAAATGACTAGAGGTGGTGGTGCTGGGGCGGTATAGGCGGCGGTGACAAAAAAAATATTTTTTTGATATTTTTTTATTTTTTTTTTATTTTTTTTTATTTTTAATTTTTTTTTTAATTTTTTTTTTAAATTTATTATTATTCAGAATATTTTTATTAATTTTTTGGTATATTTTACGAATTTTTATTATTTTTTATTATTTTATTATGAATTAAAACATTCCAATAGGTATAAGGGTATATTTGTCCAAGACAAACATAATTAGTCCTATGAAAACATAGTTTATTTTTTGGTCCTATTTGTGCAAAGTGAGTGACTTTTAGTCCTTTTTGATAATTAACTCTTCAAGTTTCAACTATTCGGCTAATACGATCATTAGAAATAAATTGACTTTTGGAATAAGTATATTTCAACCAGTATTAGTCGACCCTACAAGATTTGAAATAATTAGACAGCAGGCTCGGGTGAGGTGATCCATTGGTGGAAATAATTAGACAGCTTTGGTGGAAATCTTTAGATAATTTCTATTGTTAGGTCCTTAAAATAAGAACCTTACCGTTTGAGAATTTAGAGATTATGATAGTTGAATCTGAATTTATAGGTGTGACCAAATATACCCGTAGAGATTACACTGGGTTTTGGGAAATACAATGGGATGTCAAAATGATCGAAAATGCTATGTGTACATGGTTTGTACACAACTTGTACATGCTATAAATATCCCATAATTTTTACCATTTCATTTTTTGCTTTTTACCCTCTTTCTTTCTCCCTTCTCTCCTTCTCCTATTTCTTCTCTACGCCCTGCCCGTAGCTTTTCTCCAGCAACCCACTTTCTCCTTTCTTCTCCATTTTCATTTCAATCCTTCTCCACATATAATTGTCATAAGCAATTTCATTTGTCACTAAGGTGTTCACGAATGAAGATGGAGCGCCGCAGACCTAGAAGTCATCGCTGCTTGGAGCTGCCGCCGCCCGGATGCTGCCACGGCCCAGAAAATTATAGGGCCGACCACCCGCTAGCGTTTCCAGCATGGAGGATCGATTTACGACTTGGTGAATTGCTGCCAACCCACCGCCACCGTGGTATTCATTTCCCCTTTATCTTCCTTCAATCCAACCTCCTTAACCCTAACTCATTAGATGCTAATTTGCCCCTTTTTGTTATTGTGGCTTAGGGTTTTAACTCTGTTTTTTTTTTCTTTTAAATTTTATGTTTTATTGATATTTTAATGTTGTTTGTTTGACACTTTTGTTTCACTATATTATTTGAGAATATCATTCTTTTTGTTACACACCCTTTTAAGTTCTGAATTTCTTATTACAGGTGCTTTTGAGCTCTTATTCTTGTTAGTGGTTGTACTTGAGTTGTTGTATTGGAATACATTGTAAACTTATTGTTGTTGTGTAACCAAATAATGATTTTCATATTTTCCATATGCTGATATCAGTATTAGGGTGCTAAAGTATTTTCTTTCTCTTAGTTCAAACATTTGTTTTTGGAGAGTTAGTGTATTCTTTAATTATCAAAGTGATATTGTTTTTTTATATACGATAGAAACATTTGATTTTGTTCTCAAGTTAAATGCCCATGTGGTAGTATCCTTTCCTGGATCCTAATAACCCTACAGTTATGCAACGTTCACCGAGCTACCCTTTTAGGGAGATTAAAAAGACAACAAAATTTAACTAGTTATGAAAAACCGTATTCTCCTTGACATAGTATCTGTATAGAAACATGGTCATTCTATAATCAGACAGGCTATTGAATTTCATATGTTTCAAATTGCATTCCAGAGTGAAGTCCTACATAAAAAAATTAAAGGTTTTACCCTATGGCATTTGGACTAGTGTTTGCTAACTATGTGTGTATGTGTGTGTGTATGTATGTGCATGTGTGTGTCCTGATTTATAAAGAGAAGATGCATATACTTTGTATTCTTGATTGGGGATGAGAATTTTATATATGTACTTCATTGACATTGAGTTAACTTATTTCTATTCATATGTTTAGTTGGATACTTCTATATTAGCAGTTTTTTCCCCATCACTTTCTGGCATACTATCCTTAAATTTACTAGCCATGCACTGTCGTTTAGCAGTTTTTTTCTATCCTGGTGTAACTCCGCCCTTATATTGTACTTGTCAGGAAAAGTACTCCCTAAAGAGGAGACCTACGGCAAGAAATCTGCTGTTTGGAGTTGCTCATAACATGGAAGAGAGATATTATTCCAACTACCAAGTTAATATTTAAGAGATGCTATTAGCTTGAACTTTGTACCGTTGAGATATATTCACTAGTTGTCTATTAGTTTTAGAAAGTTATTGATGTAATTATGAAGAATCAATATTGAATCAAGTGTGTTTTTAATCATATTATACTTTTGTAAATGTTGTCCAACATTCTATTATGTTTAAATAAATGTAATACGAAGTATAAGTTTTTTGCTTTGCCTCTATAAATTCATTTTCTTGTAATCTATTGTCTAGGCACAAACAACTATTGTTTGGGCTCAGATAAATAAGGTGCTGGCACACTTGAATGATTCTCATTCATTTTCTACTAAAAGAATATTGCAAACGAATAAAATCTAACTATAACAAAGCACCATAATTATTGTAATTTTATTAATTCAACTTAGCAATTATTGCACACTTCATGTCCTATTCATAGATAACTTCACATAACAAATTAGCTCATTCAGTGGCTATTGCCTGTGATCGGGCATTTTATGTCTGTCTCACAGACGATTCCACTTTGCAAATTACTTTGTTCCATTGTCTATTGTTTGTGACCGAACACTTCATGTCTAATATTTTGGCAATTACACTTAGCAAATTAGCTCATTCTAATGCCTATCGTGGTCAAATACTTCATGTCTGATTCACAGACAATTCCACATAATAAGTTATCCAACATTAGAATGCCAACTAGTTAATACAGATCAGTCGCATTGGAATGTTGGAATGTGTTGACATTTGGGCTGTAAATGATAATGCTTGTTTCTTTTGAATGAGTGGCATTGAGGTTTGAGATGTTGGAATGTGTATATGACATTTGGGTTGTAAATGATAGTGCTTGTTCACTTGGCAGGTTAACTTGTTTCAGTGGCTATAATTTGTAACCAGACACTTTAAGTCGCATTCATAAACAATTCCAATTAACACATTTGCCTGTTCCATTAGCTATTGCCTGTGGCCAGACATTTCGTGCCTGTTTCACAGACAATTCCTCTTAGCACATGAGCTCATTTGCCCAATTCAGTGGCTATTGTTTGTGGTCAGACACCACATATCACGTTCACAAACACTTTCACTTAGTACATTAGGTCCGTTCAAGTGGCTATTGTCTATAACCAGACAGTTCATGCTTGCTTCACAGGCAATTCCACTAATGTACTAAGTGAAAATGTCTGTGAAGCTGCTATGAAATGTCTGGCCACAAACAATGGCCACTTGAATGGGCTAATGAACTAATGTGCTAAGTGAAATTGTTTGTGAAGCAGACATGAAATGTCCGGCTACAGACAATAGGCACTGGAATGAGTAAATGTGCTAATTGGAATTGTCTGTGAACGGGACATGAAATGTCTAGTTACAAACAATTACTGTCTGGACACAAACAACTATTGTCTGGGCACAGACAACTACTGTCTGGGCACAAACAACTATTGTCTGGGCAACTATTATGGCACAAAAAAAATCATATATGTATAAATAAAACTCTTCCCATTAATTTTTTCAACAAAAACAATTATCTGATCACAAATATTACATTGTATAAATAAAACTATTGCCCACTAATCACAAACAAAACTGCATGTGTATAAAGTCACAACTAAAAGAGATAATATGTTATCTTTAAACTATTTTACAACATCTTTTTCACTTTCTTGAATCTCATCAATTTCATGGTGATATAGTAATCACTATGAAACAAATAACTACAACAAAGAACCATAATGGATTAAGATGATAAATAAATGCCATCCATTTCATAATACTTTGAGGCCCAGTCCCATTTTTTCCTAGTTTCGCCAAAGAGGAGCATCAAGAGCAGCCAAAGTTTCTGCATTTACTTGAGGCATGTGAGAAAAACTAAATCATTTAGAAGGCTATAATCATTATATTGTGTCTTACACGCTTGCAGGCATAACAAAAAATATATTGAACTATGAGCTCAAGTTGCACTATATTATATGATTCTCACTTGCTTAGTATCCCTAAGTTAAACCCAACATTGAAATACGTCTTTGGAAACATAAAGACTTACTTCACCAACATTGAAATTTCATTTTCTTTTTCATAACTCAAAAGATACACCTTTAGAAACATACATTACCTATAATTAAATATGCTATGGGCATAAATGAACTAGAGTAATTATCCTAAAATTGTGATAATTAACACTTCATATCTCTTACAATAAAATCGATTAATCAACTATTAAAGGTTATAGCATACTCAATCATCACTATCATTAGCATACCCAATACGGTGAATCATAATCATCACCAATCCATAATCATGAATCCAAATAGTCATACATTTAATAGTATCTAGTAACATACATAAAATTTGAAAAATTAAAAACAAAGATAGCCTTAAAAGAAAAAACATCTAGCAAATTCACAATAATCAAATAATAGTCAATCAACAATTAGTATATCGTAGTAAAACTGGAAGACTAGAAAAATAGTCTAAAACTCATTAGAAACTAATGTATATTAATGCAATAGAGAACAAAATCATGAATTAGAAGAAATTTTCATTGAGTCATTTTAACATACAGATTATGGGCATACAATGAAATAGAGTATTGGGATTAAAATTCCAAAAACTAACACCGCATTCTTTTACAATAAAACAAAAATAAAATTATTCAATATTACAACATACATAAATTCTAGGAAAAATAAATAAAAAACCCTAAAATGAATATCAAAAAAATCGGAGTAAATTACCTCAATAATGATGATTTTGGGAAGATTCTTCCCATCAAGAATAAATAAATTGGAAGATTGGTGAAGTGAAAGTGCTAGAGAAATTAGAGGAAAAAAGATGAAGTGGTGAAGAGAGGAGAGAAAGAAAGTCACGAGTGGGAAGTGTTGTGCGTAGCCGAGAGAAGAAAAAGAGAGAGGGTGAGAGAAAAGTGATGGAGAAGGAAAGGTAAAAAAAGTGAAAAGGAAAGGGTGGAAACTAAAAAAGGTATTTATAGGGTGTACAACTTGTGTACAAGTTATGTCCAAAATGATCTCCCATCTTGCCTTCCATCAAGTACAATTTCAGTACGTAATGAATTAAATGAGAGATTGAAATAGCTCGGCTGATGAAATTGCTCAAGAAGGATTTCTCTTAATGCTAATATATGGGTTTGTAACTTTGTATAATATGTTCCGTTTTTTTAATCGTAACATGTTGAATTTTACACTATTCACATGCTCTACTTTGAGTATATTTTATGTTATTATTTTATGAAAATTATTTTTTAAAAAAGATATTGTTCAATTCGTCTCATTACAAAGTTTTAAAATCCGATTTTTAATTTTTTTTACTAATCGAGATTAAAATATAATTACGGTCAAAGACATGCATTGGCAAATGTGAAATGTTGACCGTTCCAACTAAAAAAGAATGGAGGAAGTAGTTTTTATATGGGTTAGAGGATAATACTCAAGTTCATTGAACTTTTTAGGGATAAGGGTCAGATAGGGCCTCGAACTTTGAAAAAAATGTCAAATAAGGCCATATTTAGGATGTTATGTCCGGATGACGTCATTTGGGGCGGTTCCCGAAGGAATTTTTTGATGAATTTTTTTGAGAATCTTATTCATTAAGTCTAGTTTACTCATATCAAATTTGAACTAACAATTCAATCGGGAAGGCATTCAAATGAATTCTTGAAGATAACTGCGCTTTTAACGGCACAGTTATCTTCAAGAATTCATTTGAATGTCTTCCCGATTAAAGTTTTAGTTCAAATTTGATATGAGTAAACTAGACTTAATAAATAATATTCTCAAAAAAATTCATCAAAAAATTCCACCGGGAACCACCCCAAATGGCATCGGCCGGACAGAGCGTCCTAAATATGGCCTTATTTGACATTTTTTTTCAAGTTCGAGGCCCTATCTGACCCTTATCCCAACTTTTTAATATTTGTAGAGGCATTGCTCTTTTGGGTTAAAAAGGTGCTGATACAATCCGAAATGAGATTTAATTTCTTGATGAGTCGTTCTTCACACATGTCCATTATACACGTGTAGACAATTTATGTTGTTTTTATTTGAACCGTTTTTAGTCTCAAACCAGAACTGACTTTCATAGGTATAAAATACAAAGAGACTAGACATTTATCAGACAAGATCAAACCGATTCAGACTAGACCAGAGTAGACTTAAACATACCAAAACAGCAAATTTCAATCCAAATAAAAGCATCTTAAAAAAATATTCCACTATTTGCGTTTTATAATGAGGTGCTAACAGGTGTACATATGTAAAATAGTGGGATGGACATGTGTACAAAAATGTGTTCTAAAAGAAATTTTCCTCTCTTGATTGCTGCCCAATCACCAACTTCTGAACTCAGTGCGGTTGCTAAGCTTCTAGGCTCTTGTTGTATTGATTTGTGTCGAGTGTTATTTATTTGTATATGGGGCGTATTCAACCTTGGTTTATTCCCCTTCTCTCATACTTGTTTTAAAATGATTCTAAGAAAATGTTTCTTCGAATTGTATTGCTCCGTATAATTTGTGTGATGCACGTCCAAAAGTACGAAACTTTTCATACTTCATACTTGTACAGGGGTGTCCTCAACACAGATGTTAAAGGATTTTAAAGGATTGCAGATTCTATGGATTTTAAATGAATTCTACAGATTCCATGAGATCGAATTCTATTTCATACAATGATATGGATTTTGACGGATTTAAATAGATTTTAATATACAATTCTATGGATTTAATATACAATTGCGTGGCAGATTATAATACTTCGAAGTATTACAAAAGCTTGTAATACAGAACGAAGCTGGGTAGGAGGGCAGCAAACAAAATTGAATGACCCACTTATACTTTATAATCATTAAGCTAGTACCTACGAAGCAAAGCTGTAATACGATTACAAAAAAAAAAGAACTGGAAGGATGGGTGTTGAGAACAATAATACTTTGTGAGTATAGGTTCCGTCTGCTACCATCTCCGTTTGGTATATAGGTTCGTATCGAGAACACAGATGAAGAGGAACGAGATAGCCTGGAAGATGGAAGAACACAAAAGCCTATTGGTCTGCTTTATTGCGAGTGATACTGAGAGCGTAGGGTTTGTACGTGGATTTGGAAATCTGGTGGGTGTTGGGCAGATTGTTGGTGGATTGAGTTATTCAATTTTTTGGCTTAAAATTCCATCAAAATCTTTCAAAGTCCATTAACATATAAATCCATGGAATGTTTGAGGATACCTTGATTTTAATAGATTC